GAGAGAGAGAGAGAGAGAGAGAGAGAGAGAGAGAGAGAGGCAAATTAAGGGCCCTGGTGAGTGTGTCAAATTGTGTGGCAAGAACAAGGTTTAAAAAAACAAAACAAAAAAAACCCCGCAAAACTCGTGACGGCTGTCAGTGATATTTCACAACTGTTCGGAATTTTTCAGGTCAAAGAACACATTCGTGTAAATCAAAAAAGGTGTGTACCGTGGACGAAGAAATGTCAAGGCAGTCAAAGGTCTGTGAAGTGGGCGTGGCAGTCGAGAAGCAGGAAGTGTTGCACTTGCCTTTGTTGTGTTAAAATATGACTTTGACCAACTCAAAGCACCTACAAAACTGAAGTGACTTGGTATATAAGTTACTAGCATGAGTGCTACAAATGTTCGACCATGCACTGAAGCACAGCCAATGTGTCACGGTTGATTATAAATGTAAAGTTCGAAAGCAGCCAAATGCGTACAGTACGGTATCAAATTCACTTCCGTGTCTGCGCAGTTTTATGACGTCATCATATGAACTTCACTGTGTTTGATGGGAATCATCTTGTCGATTTTATTCCGTCAGTCGTCTTTCCTCATCATGGACTTGTAAGGTAGGTTCTTTACCGTATGTTTTGGTGTTTCTTTTGATTAGTGTTATGGTTCTGGCCACTTTTAAGACCCCGATCTAATCATATTTCATTTAACTTCTCTTTCTAGTCAGGAATGCCCTACAATAATACTGTCACAAGTAAGTCACAGTATCCCGTATCCTCATTCTTACCACACTTCTTTCCCACCATCACCACCACACTACGACCAGTACAAAGCCAATCAGGAACTGCCTTTCAACTCAACTCCCCATCAATCTATCCAAGAAGTAGAAGATTCTGTGTTGTTCTTCCTAGGATCATTATTTCCGGGGTTTTATGTGATGGTAGATCTAGAGACCTTGCCTTAAAAAAAGTCGACTCTCTACACTTCAGTTCAGTTTCAGTCAGGTAGGCCTACAGTACAGTACTTAGCCTAACCTACACACAGTAGATTCTAGAGATCTAGATCTAGATCTAGATCTAGAGTAATCGTACCGGTTCGGGCAGCACGTTTTTTTTTTGCTGTCGGGCACTGGAGTACAAAAAGATCGTTTAAAACTTTGTTTTCAAATCTAGCCCCAAAAGAGTGGCACACAAACCTAAAGCAACCTCCCTTACTTTCGTTGAAACAACAGTTACGGCGATATTTTGCTAAAAATAGTCCTTAAGACAGCTTTTTCTTCATCAACTGAGCAAAACAGCGTGAAGCTCTTTCCCCGGAAGAGTTAACATTGGTTGTGGATGAAGGAGCCTGTGACCTAGATTCTACGTTTTGGTAGACTGAAGGCTGGAGAGTTATTTGCATATGAGGCCCTGTCAAGGATGAAAGAGAATTTGCCATTTAGTCTCGCCGTTTTTGCCCAAAGGGGGGATGCCCGGATTGTAACATAAAATCCGTAGTTTCTCATCCTTCGGGCACATTATAATATAGAGCCAATGGTTATTTAACAAAGAATAAAGAATTTGTGCATAATTTAAATAGGAAGAGGCTAGCCGTACTTAATGACGGCTAGACTGGCAGTCTAGCCGTACTTAAGTACGGCTAGACTCGCAGTCTAGCCGTACTTATTCTTAATAATAATATGATGGCTAGACTGAACATTTAACAAAAAATAGGCCTACTGAATTGTAAATATACTTTTTTAGTGTGCAGTACCTAAAGTATTTGTATTTGAGACGAAACCAGGTGCCTAAATGACAGTGTATGTATTTTAAACCTCCTGTTTTCTAATGTTAATAGGGCCTAAGATAAGTACGGCTAGACTGGCAGTCTAGCCGTACTTAAGTACGGGTAGACAGCCAGGCTAGCCGTACTTAAGGACGGCTAGACTGTCAGGCTAGCCGTACTTAATATTGTGATGGCTAAATTGTAAATGAAATTTTTAGTTTGCAATGCCTAAAGTATTTGTATTTCAGACAAAACAAAAAGGTGCCTTACTGACTTGCATGTATTTGAACCTGAATAATTACTAGATCTAGATCTAATGAGACCTGTGTACTTAACAGGCTTGAGTCGATAGGGCCAAACCTAGATCTAAGTACGGCTAGACTCTCAGTCTAGCCGTACTTAAGTACGGCTAGCCACTTCGATTTAAATAATAGTAGAGTCAGATACAGCATATTAACTCAGTCAGACACCAGTGTAATAGAGTCAGATACCAGTGTGTAATACAGTCGGATATCAGTGTAGCCGAGTCAGATCCAGTGTAGTTGAGTGAGCCAGATGCCAGTGTAGTAGAGTCAGATACCACGTAGTAGAGTGGGTCAGATACATACTCATTAAAATAGAGCTATAAATGGTGAATACCACTTTAGACAAACTATCATTGTGTCCAAGTGTTGATAACAAACATTAAAAATCATGTTATTAAGCTTGCAAAGAACATGGAACATATGTGATAATAATTGAAAATGACCGAATGTCAAAATACTGCCCGAATCCATGAGAAAACCAAAAAAATGCGACCGAACTCGTAAATAAATCGGGCGTCACTTTTGCACCCAGTAAGGGCCTCAAACATGAGAACAAGCTGAAACAGGTCATTCCTGGGGTCATCCAATCACATGACTTCCTGTAGCTGGTTTCGGTTTATTTCTAGGGCAAGGCAGATAGGAGATATAAAGCTTTAAAGTCGACGTGCCTGTTTTCGTCCTTATTTTGACCGAACCGGTAATATTACTCTAGAATCTAGAGCCCCTGTACGGCATACCGACACCTTAGTGTTTTGTGATGACTATTTCCGGAAGTGAACTTTTGTGTTACCATAACTTCGGCTCTTTCAAAAGGCCACCTCTCTCTATTCTCACCCCGGGTGAGAATAGCGTAGGCGAGTCTTTTGGTCATTCTCACCCGGTGGGCGTTCACCGTTATAGCCTCTAACTAGGCCAACCAGTGAAGCGTTCACCCTGAACCACAGAATTCTACACTGTGATAACAGAATTATAGAATTCTGTGTTGTGAACAAACGTTCTAGATCTAGATATCTAAATTACTACTTGTTAGTGTTAGCCTAAAAGCGTGCAATTTTGTCTGTGGGCAGTGGAGAGAGAGAAAGAGAGAGAGAGGAGTAGCGCGAGAACTTCTGGGCAAAACAAAATGGCTCGACTCAATTCTGAAAGTCAAATAGCCGTAGCATCTTTGTAGACGACCAAATTAATTTAGTTTTGTTTTTTAGTTACATCATTTTTAACTTTGTTTTGGTCAATTTGATCGTCCACACCGCGATAGACAGTATTCAGAAAGAGACAGAGAGAGAGAGAGAAGGGAGGAGTAGATCTTGCGAGAACTTCCGGGCAAAACAAAATGGCGACCTCCGTAGTTCGGCTCGATTCGAAAAGTGAAATAGCCATAGCATCTTTGAAGACAATCAAATTAGCTTACTTTTGTGCTGTAACGTAATTTTTTCTTGGCTATTATCAATTTGATCATCCACACTGATAGATGATACCTATAAACGTCTTCATAACTCAAAAAGTAGGATGGCTGTGAAAAATCTGAAAGCAGGACTAGATTCTGCACTAGAAAATGTACTGGGTTGCCATGTTTTTTCTTAAATACCCCGAGAAATGAGCGAGTTATGACGAATATTGTCTCAAAACTCACCAAAGAACGTCCCATATTTTTTATATTTTTTTCATGATATAAAAGTGTACCAAAAATTAATTGATTAAAAAATTAGTAACTTTTTTTGTTTATTGATGGATTTCAAAAATTCAAAAAGTTTCATGCTCTGTGAAGATACAGCTACAAAATGCACCTATTTGCAAACACTTTCTGGCAAAAAAAGGTTTTTCGTGGTCATTGCTACCTACCCTACCCCATGCCTACTCTATTCTACTAACTAGATATCTAGATCTCTCAAATAGTACTACTGTCTCATCATGGCAGTGGTCGCTCGTTACATGGAAGTTTTCCCTTTTCTAGATCTAGATCTAGATTTAATTGCAAAGTTTAGTAGGCTACTTGTTACGTCTAATCCTGATTCTAGTCTATGTAGGCCAGATTGTTTGATCTAGATTCCAACTGTATGATTTAAACGGTCTTGTTTGGATGTGAGGGAAATTCCACCTGAACTACCCTGTTCCTCTGATCTCCATCTGATCAGTAGTCTGCAATGTCAATGATTGCCAATTCTTGACAATACCTTAAAAACGAAATTGATTATCTAGCCTAATTTTAAAAGTTTTGGCCTATTTTTATTGGACTGTTACACTTCCACAGTAGGTTACAAGAGGATACATTGTTCAAAGATATGACTCACTTCCTTATTTCCTAAATTAAAGTTTGGCCGTCTCTATTTCTCCAAGTGCTGGGGAAAATAAAGTTGAACTCTATTACTCCGAACGGTTTCTAATCTAGATATTTTTTTGTTATTTGCGAGATTTAGGCGTCATTCTTTCATCTGCCATTCTGCGAGGACTGGGAGGAAGCATTCTTTGCATCGAATTCAATTTCTAGAGCTAGAGATTTTTAAATGTCTGAATATTCTGATATTTCAGTTGTGGTTGGGGCAACGTTCCCGGACTGTACACTTCATTTGAAAATACCTTCAAAAGGCACTGCGAGAAAACAAGACTGCTCGACCTTGGCAGTAACCTATTTCGCATTTAGTCAGCAAAAACTAAAATCTTTCATGTAAAAAAAACCCCTCCATACACACACGCGCGCACATGCACACTCACACACACGGGGGCCACTCCATTTGCATATATTTAACAAATCTCGAGAACGGAAGCTGTTCGAAGAAATAAAGTTCAAGTTTATTTTCCGGAACGTTCTGAGAAATAGAGCCGCCCTTTTTTTTTTTTTTTTGTGATTTAGTTTTTATTTTAGGGATGACTATGCAAAATAGGCTTTACTTCCAAAGTCGAGCAGTCTTATTTTCTCGCAGTACCCTTTGAAGGCATTTTCTAATGAAGTATAGTCTGGGAAAATTGCCCCAACTACAATTGAAGTATCTGAATATTCAGACAACTAAAAATTTCTAGCTCTAGAAATTGAATTCGATGAAAAAAAAAAAATGCTTCTTCCCAGTCCTGGCAGAATGAAAGATGACCCTGAACTCTCGCAAATAACCAACAAAACTCGAAAACTGAAACCGTTCGGAGAAATAGAATTCAAGTTTATTATCCCGAGCTTTCGGAGAAATAGTCACTTCGATTAAGTTTTCGCCAATCAATCATAATCCTTTGGCAGACTGAAAAATATGAAAACTACAGAAAATGTTCAAAACTTGTTTTGACCGATTTTTATTCCATCAACTGCGTTATTTTGATCCGAGTGTGATGTGAATATTGTGTGCGCTTTACCCTGCAATTTTGCAATTTACGGACTGAGACCAGGTGGGTATACGGGTCAGCTAACTGTTAACTTTGATTAATTAAGTAAAGCCTCTGTGGCTATGCGTACGACCCTCCCATATGCATAGCCCCGTAGCTATGCGTAAGGCCCTCTAAAGTATAGCTTTAGATCTAAAATAATTAAGTTATAATAAATAAATAACGACTTTGATACTCTAGGT